TCGGGCTCGGGCCGCGAGAGGAAGGGCCCCTCCGGCACCCCGCCCCAGCCCAGCCGGGGCGCAGCCACCCGGCCCCGAGCAAGCCGCTGCACCGGACGTCTGCCCACCTACGGACACGCGCACGCACAGGATGCAGAAGCCTCTTACCTGGATCCATAGACCTCATGATGTGGTGGTAATGAACCAGCCTGCAGGCAGTTTCTCTCTGCATGAGGATTTAAAAATAATTACAAAAATAAAAAAAAAAAATAAAAAAAAATAAATAAAGCGGTGGCCGGGGGGAAGGGGAAAAAAAAAAAGGAAAAAAAAAAGGAAAAATCTCCTTTAAACCATATTCAGGCGCTGGGGCTGGAGGAGAGGGAGCCCCTTCTGCGGCCGCCTCGCGTGGGGCTGGAGGGGCAAAGAGGGCTCCGGCCGGGGCTGAGCGTGTTCCTGAAGTGAAGGCAGTTCTCGGCGCTGAGATGTGGGTTACTAGAGAGGGAAAGGCCACTTCCTTCCCTGCTCCGAGTGTTTATAGTCTTTGAATGCTGTAAAATAACGGGATTCCCTCACTGTTTCCTCCTGTTTATCCCAGTGCCATGGAAACCCCTGGATCGCCTCCATCTCCCAAACTGAGGGCTTTCCTGCAAACTTCACACTCAGGAATCCATGACGTCTCCCAGCTCTGGGCCAAGGCAGCTCTGTGGCTTTTCTCAGTCTGCAGCACAAGCACTTAATTGTTGAGCAGAAAGTTAGAGAGCGGGAGAGAAAGAAATATGGATGATGTTAAAAATCCCAGTGTGTGTTTTTAAAACAAAACTTGCAGGCGCTGCAAAACCCTGCGAGGCAGCAGGGCTCCTGTGTGCACATTTCCCCTCCGCTTGGCGGGGACCGCTGCGAGCTGCTCCTGCTTTTTTTCCCTTTGGATAAATCATTCGCAAAACTCAAGTCCCCCCATCTTTTTTATTTATAGCCCTGAACTTGGCCAGTGCCCTATTCATACCCATCTCATTGCTGGCAAGAGGAGACAGCTCCTTCTTACCACTCGCTTGATTCTTTAGGCAGCAAGAAGAAAAAAAGCAGTCCATAAATTTGTCGACTGTCATTTCACAAGCCTGCCTCTGTCTCTATTTTTAGACCCATTTAGAAGAGAGAGAGAGAGAGCGAAATAAAAAAAAGCAGCCCCCTGGATTTCCATTGATCCACGTGGAGCTCGGCAAGGGTGAAATAGCCAAGGAAGCTTCTGAAACCAAGACAACGCCTGTGTTTACACGTGCGAGGGATAAACAGGAAAATAAAGGCAAAGACAACAGGAAAATAAAGGCAAGGATGTCGTGACCCCCACGGTGTTTTACAATGTACGGTTTTCACTGCTGGGTTAAGAAGCCTCTCTAGGGTCTTCCAGGGCTCGGGGGCATGTTTGCAGGAGAGATCAAGAGGTCAGCAGTATGAAGAGGACCCTGCTGGCTCCCCCCACCGCTCTCCTACAAGCCAGTCAAGCCTTGAAATTTACATTTTCAGCTGAAATTGTTGTCGAGCTCAGACAGGATCTTGGGTAGCAACAGCGAGTGAGTCACTTTGCAGATGGACTTGGACTTCTCCTGCACGGAGAGCTAGCTGGCTGGCACCGGCAGGACATTTCCATTTTTCACTCTCTCAGTCCCCAAATCAGCTCGAAGGAGGTATCCCAATCAAACTTTCTGCTTCTCTAGTTTGTTGTCTTGCAGGCTAGCAACTGCAGGCCGGCCAGGGAAACTCACTTTCCTAGCCTCTGTCATTTTTGGACGTGAGGAGGCGGAAATACCCTGTCCCTTCCTCAGCTCCAAGAGTCTGTTATGTAACGTACTTCCATTGAACCCTGGAAGCACATAGCAGGGAGCATGAGTGTCAGCAGGGCTGTCAAGCAGCTGGGGATCCACGTTGCCTCCCTTAAATGAAGGTGCATGACATTCTTGCCAAATGAGGGGCTCGGGAGCGCCCTGGTCTACAGGTGGGGTCCAGATGGGCGGATATTGCGGCTGAGGGTGTTGGTGGTGATTACAACCTTTATCTCGACTGGAAAACCATTTCCTGTTGAGTCTCCCCCAATGCAGACCTTCAACTTCTTGTTCTGGCCAATTCTTTCATTTTGTTTCACCATCAGTGCAGGGCAAGTGGTCATCTTAGCTTGAATGTGGCTGCAGCAGGAGCCACTAAATCCATCTTGCTTTTCAGAGCTGATTGAAGGGGAAGGGACTCAGCGCCCGCACTCCTTGTGGGCCCCTCTCCTCTCTGACCCCCACAGTGCAAGACAATGTCAAAATACTGCATTATACAGACACAGGGCCTTCCAACAACATTAGCATCTGCTCTTTCTTCGACAGTTGGACATGGAAATACCTCTAGCAACCAGTATTTGCCCCCGTATAACAGTTCATTTATCTGTTCAGCTTAGGTTATAGTCTACTTTTCTGACAACTCTTATGAAAATCCACGGGGCTGTTTATCTTCCTTCTCCAGCAAGTGATTTCAGGGCTAGAAAGCAGTTGCCTCTCTGAATTGAACACTGGCGTACTGACTCCTTGATTTTTACTCGGTGATCATTAACTGCTGTGACGCAGCAATTAACCATGTTCTGTCTCCAAAGACCTGGCAAGTAATTGCCTTCAGCTGATCCCTCAGCCCTGGTCCTGGTGCTGCAGGATTGATTACAGCCTTGCTTGTAGTAGGGTTTCTCCGAGATGTTCATCAAACCTTGAGGAGTTGGGGAAAGTGTGTGAAGGCTCATCAAAGTGGGGCTCAGGGTTGGGGGTGATGGAAGGGGCTGGGTGGTGGTGAGGTGACAGTGATCAGAGGAGAGCAGTCAAGTGCATGTGATGAGAGGAAGGAACAGCTGGGGTGTATGAGGGCAGAAGGGAATGATTTGCCAAAGGGTATCCCAGAGTGAGTGGAGAATGGGCTACCCCAGTGGAAAGCTTCGCCTCATCCCACGCTGTGCTATAATCGGGGGAGCAGTCACAGCTCAGTGGTTATGGCACACAGGTTGGCTTCCCCAGTCTGGACCGGTTAAAAATACACTTTGTTTCTTTTAATAGCTCAGTTTGATCCGCTCTGGCTAGTTCACATGACAGAGTTTTCCTAAAATATCTCCTTGCACCAGGTTTTTCCAACTTAAAAATGCTGAATCCTGCTACCCAAATTAAACTCAGTGCAAAAAATAAAAAAAAGAAGAAGAAGAAGAAAAAAAAAAAAAAACAGGCCTGGCGGCTGCCTCTGTAATGCTAGCATTCCCCAAACCAACATATGACACAACTGTAAGATTTCCAAGGCTTTTGGAGAGTTCAGCGAGAGAATTGTGTCCTCCATTGGCTCCAGCTCCGCAGCTGAGTTAAACTTTCCTGATGGAACCTTTCTCCATCTGGCTTCTGCTACCAGAGATTTGTGAGTGACCATGGAGGGAAGGGGGATAGTTCACATATTATATAACTGTACGGAGCTCAAGGTGGGGGTAGAGACTTTCCTTAGAAACGAGATATTTTTATAGAGAGGGAGTTATTTTTAGCTTCCTTTTCAAAAGGAAGGCCAAATACCTCCCTCTTTCCTTTGCTTTCTTACTTTGGTATCACTAAGGGATTTTATTTTTAGAAGGGAGAGAGCTATTTATTCCTCCTTCATGAGGACATTCCCTCTTCCGGTGAGGGCCACCTCCAAGTCGAAATACTTTCCCTTCACTGCCATGCCAGTTTCCCCAGCAGAACATGGCACCTCTCCTTTCCTGTGAGTGGCAAACCCAAGCCAAGGTGTCAGAAAGTGATTTCAGGTGACAGCTGATACACAGGGGGTCCTTGCAGGGACCTGAAGCATTGACTCATGGGACATATTGTTGAAAATCTCTGATCTGTCTATGCCTGGGCCACATTAATTATTCTGATTCATTATCTCCAGCAAAATTTGCTCCTTAATTAACATTGGGGTTGAGAGTTTGAAAGAATGACATTTTCCAAATAGACTGTATATCTGAAAGACCTCGGTGATTTCTCTCGCACCTAATGACAACCTTTAACCAGTCTCAGGGGATAAAGGCCAGTGGGAAGGCACCCAGCAATTCAATGAATAGGCTCAAATCATGATCACATAACACTGTTGCATGCATTTGCACAATAGATGGCACCTTCAAACCCTGTTGGAGTGTTCACACAAGTAGAGGGAGAGAGAAATGTAAAGGCAGAGCCCAGGAAAAGTTCACCTCATGACAGCAAAAGTTTTCAGGTAAGGTTCGAAATGAGATGGGAAAGAGGCAGAGGGATGTAATGAAGATACTTTGGAGATGATGAGCTGCAGAGGATTGGGCTCTTGCATCAAGAGTATCATTTTATACTTTTTGCAGCTCTTTTCATGCACAGTTACAGAACAGCATGGTTATGGTGATACAGTGATAAACCTTGAGTAAAGACTTGAGTACAATAGAAGAGACACTTAGTTTCAGTGATGCAATTTTGGCTCTGAGTGATGCTCACCTCTCTGAGCTGAATATCTAGCTGAGGGGCTAATGAGGTCTCTCAGGACAGGAGGTTGCTGGTCCTGGAGACAGGCAAGGGGACTGTGCGTCCCGTAGAGCTGGACTTCACACAAGGACTGCAGAACCCATCACAAAGGAAGACTGTAGGAACGGACATGAGAAGGCATGCAGAAGGCTAGATTTGACCACTAGGTCTGTATTCAGGTAGATCTGGAGACCAACGACGTGGGTTTTCACTGGAATATCTCCAGGGTCTGGAGTAAACAGAGGGGTCTACTGTATAGTCTGTTGTGCGGCACCCTGGTGTTCCCTGAGAAGTCAAGTGCATCATCATTGTGTTGCCTACAGTTATTTGCTGGGGAAGGAATTTTATATCATCCTGTTCTTCCCACCTCCCCACAAGGAAAGTGTTGAGTAAACAGGGTTAAATTTACGTAACTGCTGATTAGGAAACCGTCCACAGTAGGAACCAGAAAGATCTGTAGCATTACATTCACAGTAAAAATGAAATGCCAATTTTTTCTCATGCTCCCTAGAAGATCAAGGCATCAAGGCTTCCTGAGGATATGTTCTCAGGCCACTGTGGCAGCTGCCCTGGGTTTATCATAATAGTCTTCATGGAGACATTTCTATTTTCCATTTGTAAAAGTATTTCAGGCTCATAGCAACAATGAGTCTTTCTGACAAAAGATCATCATCCTTCCAAAGTAAATAAAGTTCTCACTGAATCAGCCCTCACATGCAACGTAGGCCAGATAGTGAAAGTTGCTAAGGCATTAACCTTGCTAAGTTACACCTATGCCCCTTTTGAGCTCTTTCAGGCCCAAATAAATTCAGTTAGGATCAAACAATCCAACCTCTGCAATTTGGCCTGCTTAGGCAATACAAATTTTCATCTCTCTCCATTCTGTAACATTCCTACAGCATTTGGACTCCAAGAAAGTATAGCACCAACTTTTTCTATTTCTGACAGGGTTCTTGCCTGAAAAATATACTCAGTAGTTTAGTTAAGTTGTAACCAAGTGTCTGATCTTATAATAAGCTCCACCTGGCTCAGGGAGTCCACCCACATGGAGCT